GTTCCAGGTGCCCTGGGAGGCCTGAGCGTGAGTAGCGTTTTGGTGTCGCAAGTACACAGATGCAGCCCGGCGCGGCCCGCCCCCAAGTAGCCATAGCCATACAAGGTTTGGATCATGACTGAACCAGAAGATAGGATGTCCTGGGTTGGGTGTAGTGGAGCCTGGGAGGTTGTAGTGAGCTGAGAGAGGAGAGATGGGATGGACCAGCGTTTCATGGTTGTGTCAGTGACCATCTTTGTCATCCTGGGTTTGTAAAGTGGAATGGGTTTTCTTGTTTTTGTGGGGTTTTTTGAGTCGGGGTTTAACCTTGTCTCCCAGGCTGGAGTGCAGCGGCAGTCACGGCTCCACTTCCTGGATTCAGGCGATCCTTTTGCTCAAAGCTCCCGCGTAGCTGGGACTACAGCCGCATGCCACCACCCCTGGCTCAGTTTTGGATTTTGTTGTAGAGACAAGGTCTTGCCATGTTGCGTACGCTGGGCTCAAAACACCTGAGCTCAAGCATCTCTCCCACCTTGGCCTCCCAAAGTGCCGGGATTACAGGCACGTGCCTGGCTGGAAGTGGCTTTTGACCAAACCAGGACCTCACTACAGCACCTGGAGTCTGGTGGCTTCAACAGTGGGGGGATTCCCTGCCTTCTACTGCTGGCGGGTGGGGAGTGGCTCCGAGTGTCCCTCGCAGGGCCTGCTTGCCTCTCTGCCCTCTCCACCAGCACCATTTCACCCCTGCACTGGGGGCAGGGGAAGGTTCCACCTCCTGTGGATGCCAAGACAGCACTGTGGGGACCCCATGAGTGGTGGGGCCCAGCTGCCCCTTGTCCCCAGCACTTGGTGAGTACACTGACCCTGAACCCTTTCTGAGCAGGCCTTGTCTGGCAGGTGGGGGTGGCACTGCCCCCAAGCTTCTTGCAGAGTTTTATGTCCACCTAGAAACCCCTTAAAATCGAAACCTGGCTGGACGTGTGTATTATGTGACACTGGCGAGGAAACCAGGCCTTGGGTGGGCTTTGCTTGGCGGTGACTGGGAGGGTCCAAGGCAGCCTGGGACTGCAGGAGCCTGCCCTGAGGGGACTGGGTGGCAGGTATGCCCACAGTTGACCCTGGAGGAGGCCCCACGTGTCTGCACATCCCGGCTGGGATGGAGTTGGGTGGCTCCGTGGAGGGTGTGGTGAGCAAGGGCCATTTCTCGTGACAGCACCACCAGGCCCAAGCCGAGCAGGTGACAGCACAGCCAGTTCAGGGCCTCCTCACTTCCTGTGAGTGGCATGACCCTCTGCCCTCCCTCACCCACGTGTGCGCCCACCGCCCTCTTACCCCCTTTCTGACAGAGCCAGGGCAGCCTCCTCACTCCGACCCGCTCCCTCCCCATCCCTGGTAACATGGGGCCTCAGGGCCGACTCCCACCTGGGACCATCCGCCCGGCGTGTCTGATGAAAGCCCTTCGCCTGGCCCCAGCCTGCTTCCACATGCATTCCCAGTGGCTCCGTGGGTCCGGGGAAAGGCAGGAAGGACAGCTTCTCCGGGGCACCTGAGGCCGGCTGGCTGTGCTCCGCCAGTGAGGGGACAGGTGCCTGAGCTGCTGAGCAGTGCTGGGGGCTGCGGCTGATGCCCACGGGATGACCTGGTGACAAATCTTCAGGAAGTCGCTGTGGCAGGAGGCGCATTCAGCCTAACCTGTCTCCAGTCTCAAGAGCAGATACTCAGATCTAACAGATGCTGCAGAGCATCCTGGGAAGGCAGCCCCCTCCAGGCACCAGACGGCCCGCTGAACCGTTCCAGGAGACAGCAGGTAGTTGGCGGGTCCTGGTGGCCTTGCTTGGAACTCGACGCGTCTGTCCTTGATGAGGCAGCCTGGAAGAGAAACATTTCTGGGGCTGCTCTTCTGCTTCTGGTTTTGGCTGTTGGAGACAGTCTTGTTCTGTTGCCCAGGCTAGAGTACAGTGGTGCAGCCTCAACCTTCTGGCCTCAAGCGATCTTCCCACTTCAGCCTCCGGAGTAGCTGGGAGTACAGACATGCCACCAAGTCCAGCTGACATTTTACGTTTCTTGGAGAGAGGTGGTCTCGTTACAAGGCGTCCAGTGAGGCAGGAGTGACGCTGAGGGAGTGGAGGTGTGTCATGGCTGCAGCCCCTCCAGGGAAGGACTGGGCTGGGTGTTGCCTTGGCTCTCCTGTAAGCAGAAGAGGAGCTAGGGGCCCATCCTAGGAGCAGCAGCTGCTTCCCCACCATGGTGCCCAGCCACTTGCCGGACTTCAGCCCTTCCTTGGCCTTCCAGAAAGATCCCGGGCTCTGCTCAGAGGTCAGAGCCTGGTCGGGTGAACCAAGCCCCAGCCTTCATGGCCTTTCCCTTCTCGATGCCATGTGCCTTTCAGTCGACGCACGCTGAGCCAGACACGGCATGTGGGTGCCGGGGCGGGGTGGGGCCCAGGGCTTGCATGCCCCCGGCCCAGTTGCCAGGAGTGGCTTTCCAAGGAGTGTGGTTCTGGGGCCACCGCAGTCCTGTTTCCCGTCATGCATGTCGGCCCACCCCATGGGCTTGCTCGTTCACCAATGTGCAGTGTCAGGATTCAGTGTGTACAGGCTGACAGTGGCTGTATGTGTGGGGACAGCAGATTCTCACAACAGGACAGTCCTGTCTGCCTGCCCTTGGCCCACTCACACCTGGCTGGGACATGGACCCTAGTGTGGGTGCATGTGAGTGGATTCTGCCTGGTTCCTGCCTGTCCAATCCTAGGTTTTCCTGGCGGGTGGAGTGCTGAATACTAGGTGACCAAGAACCACAGCCATGGGCCACCAGAGGCCTGTGCCTTATTAGGAGCTCAGACAAGGTCGCCAAGGGCCATAGTCCTGAGGGTTCCTTTCTCCCCACCTTCTGAGTGGAATCTGGGTCTGCCTTTGGAAAGGGGTTCCTCCAACTCACAGGTGGGTGGCTGTCCTCCCAGGGCAGGGGTCTCACCTCCCTCTGGTCAAGCCTTATTCTAAGGATGCCCTTGTTGACTGTGGGTGCCGCTTACACTTCTGGGCTGCTGCCAGGCGGCTTGGCTTGGCTTCTGTGCCCACAGCTCACTGGTCCTGTGGGGTGGCGCTGGCATCCTACCAGTGTGTGGTGTGTGTGCCTGCGGGCTTGACACTGGCCTCCCTGGCAGGCCTTGACCTCCACCTGGTGCCTCATTTGTCAGAAAGCCATTGGAGGCCACTTCACTGCTTCCTCAAGGACTAATGCGTCTGCTGCTTAGGGACGTGAATCTTAATTGCACTTAATGCCTCATCTGCAGAAACTGTTGACAACGAAGTGGAGGAGGACGGACTCGAGCCGACCAGACCTCAGTGAGGGGTTCGCCCCGAGCACCCAGGGCCCACCAGTGACACCCACTCTGGGCCCCAGGAGTGCTTACAGCCCCACCTGAAGATGTGTCCCTTTGGGTGGCAGGTCTGGGAGTGCCATCCTGCTGAGGACCAAAGTGGTGTGGTGCCTGTCTCCTGGCCCCTCGTGTGGGCCCCACCAGCTGGGACCTTTCTGGAGCCGGCTCTTCATGGACATGGATTCTGAGCTCTTGAAGGACTTCCTGCTGCTTCCCCACCCCAGAGGCAGGCAGGACCGCGTGCGGCAGAGGGGTGTCCAGGACCATGGCGGGCAGCAGGCAGGCAGGTGGGCGGCTTGTCTGTTACCTTCTGGCCAGGGGCCTTTTCAAGTCCAGCCTCCTAGCTTGACCATGTAAACCTATTCTGAAAGCTATTCTTTTTTTTTTGTTTTGAGTTGGAGTCTCACTCTGTTGCCCAGACTGGAGTGCAGTGGCCACTCCCGGTCACCGCAGCCTTGACCTGCTGGGCTCTGGCGATCCTTCCGCTTCAGCCTTCCAAGTATTGCTGAAACTACAGGCGCGTGCTACCACGCCTGGCTAATTTTTTGAATTATTGTAGAAATGAGGTCTCGTCAAGTTGCCCAGGTGGGTCTCGAACCTGTGGGATTACAGGCTGAGCCACCGAGCCTGGCTCTGAAAGCTATTCTTATTGCCTGGGAAGGTAGGCAGTCTCGGGTACTAGCTAGGAGTGGATTTAAATGTGAGGACGTCCCATGAGGCAGAACTCAGCCCGCAGAATTTCCATCCTAGCTGGTCTGTGCAATGCATGCACATCCATGTGGTCAGGAGGGCTTAGGTCCTCCCGTGGCCTGCGGGTTCCTGTCTGGGACTCAGTCTCTCTGGCAGGTGACCCCATTCCTTGCGAGCCCCTGATGCCAGGCACAGTTTCACAGGAAATGGGTTACCCTACCTTGAAGGACCTGGACATCTGGGGCTCTCCTGGCCTCATCTCCAGCCTGCTGGGGCCTGCTTGTCACCCTGCCCCTGTTGGCTGCCTACAGTGCTCTTAGGCCCTGCATCTCTACTGCCTGGGATGCTTCCCCCTGGCCCATCTCCCCCTTGTTGGTTTTATCAGAATTTTCTGGCCTTGCTGCTGCTGAAGCGTCCTGTGGAGATGCAAGGCTGAGGCCTGCCTGGGAGGCCCATATCGAGCCTAGGACCCACCACACACTCAAGGGATGCCAGGCGCCTCGGGGTGTTCCAGACTCCTGTGCCTGTCAGAACCGCCAGTGTGGGGTTTGGCTCCTGGGCCCTGTGTGCTGGAGGGCAAGGTTTGCAGTGCGGAATGGGGCACAGAGCACGGGGTAAAGCCACACAGAAGCATCAGACCTAGACATTTGCAGGAGACCATTGGCCATGCCTGGAATGCTGACGCCAGGCCTCTGCCTCCTGAGGGCCTGTGGGGCCGAGATGGGCCTCAGTGCCGCCCAGGGTGAGCTGGGAGTGGGCACCTCCCTGGCCTGTCTTGTTTTCTGCAGAACCTGTGGGGACCATGGTGACCCTGCTCTGGCCAGGACACAGTCCGCTCAACCGTGCTGCTTGTGGTGTCACTACTGTGGATGATGAGGGGAGGGGCTGGGACTCGGCTGCCAGGCTTACTGCACAGAAGCCTTTCCTCTGAAGTTCCTTGACTCTCAGGTAGCTACACACAGAACGGCATTTTACACATGCTGGACAGAAACAAGAGGATCAAGCCTCGGCCGGAGCGATTCCAGAACTGCAAGGACCTGTTTGACCTCATCCTCACTTGCGAGGAGCGAGTCTACGACCAGGTGGTGGAAGGTAAGGGGCTGGCTGTGTGCCCCTTGGGGATGCCCGAGTGGGCAGTGCAGCCTTTCTGGATAGCGCCCCCAGGACAAGTCTCCTGTGTCTGGCACGGCTCGCTGGGCTTCTGGGTCTGCTCTGCACAGGCCTGGCGAGGCGGAGTTGGGTGAGCGGGGTGCTGTTGCGGGCCCGGGGAGCCTGGCGGCGCCCACAATGCTGGCGCCCTGGGAGGCATCCGCATCAGCCCTGTCTGAGGTGAGGTCTGAGAGCACAGCACTGTGGAGGCAGGGGCTGGGCGGGGAACTGGGCCGCACAGCGCCCATCTTGGCAGTCTGACGTCTGTTCCCCGTCCCGATCAGATCTGAACTCCAGAGAGCAGGAGACGTGCCAGCCGGTGCACGTGGTCAATGTCGACATCCAGGACAACCACGAGGAGGCCACCCTGGGCGCATTCCTCATCTGTGAGCTCTGCCAGTGTGTGAGTGCCCAGCCCAGCGCCCCCACCCGTGGCGCCCTGCAGGGGTCAGGAGTCAGGAGTCAGGCCCTGTGTTCCAATGTGGACACCCAGGGCAGAGGGCCAGGAACGAGAGGAACCCCTGCCCCGTGTGCTTTCCGTTCAGCTGACATGCAGTGGCCTTGCAGCACAGGTTTTGTGGCGTTGGCTGGGCATATCCACCAGGGTCTCCCAGGACACGGCCCCTGAGGACGGCCAGCACCACACCCCTTCCTGTGGTGGACCCTGGCTCCACTGGCCAGCAGGGGAGTGCGTTCCTGACAGGGGCGGGGTCGGCAGTGTGAGGCTCTGGCTATCACCAGGCACTGTGCAGAGCTGCTTAGGTGTGACAGAAGGGCCACCCCCCTCCGCCTTGTCCTACCTTCAGCCCTGGCCGTGGCTGTAGCTCCTCTGGCTGTGCACGGCAAGAGGCAAGGGAGCAGAGCCCCAGGGAAGCGGCGGCGTGGCGGAGAAGCTGTGTGTGGACCAGCCTCCTGCCCAGGCCGCTCTGCCCAGCCTGGCTGCCGCAGCTCCAGCAACTGTGCGCCCATGATCCAGCAGCACCAGGATGACAGGCCACACAGGGCCCTGTGTCCCAGAAGCTGTGCCTGCGACTTCTACTTTCTGCTGGCCAGAGCCGAGTCACAGGGACCACTGACCCTGGAGCTCAGAGCCGTTGCGTGCCGGCCATGGCTGGGCCAGGGACAGTGGGATGGGGTTACAGCATCTAGGGCCATGGCTGCGGGGCTCAGGAGTCGGCAGTCTGGGGCAGGATGGGGGCTCTCCACCAGGGGGCTTTGGCAGGCAGAGTGTGCCTGGGTCGGCGGCCCCATGGGCGACTGGTTGTCCAAGCTCCGGCCTCTGGCTTTGTGTGGAAGGCAGGGGAGGCCTGGCATCTGCCTCCTGCCCCGGCAGGCTGCACTGGGGGTCTGGTCAGCACCGGCAGCCCTGGCTTCTGCGGGGACTGGGCCGTGCGGGCAGGGAGGGTCATGCTGGTGCCACCCTGCAGATCCAGCACACGGAGGACATGGAGAACGAGATTGATGAGCTGCTGCAGGAGTTCGAGGAGAAGAGTGGCCGCACCTTCCTGCACACGGTCTGCTTCTACTGACGCACCTGCCAGCGTCCTCGTGGACTCGCCACCGCCGACGCTGCCTCTCGCGGGCTCTGCCACGGCGTCACTCTTGAACTGAACCTGTGGAGTGGGGGGCGCAGACGTGCCGGGTCCGCCCGCCACGGGTTTCCGTCCCGCCTGCACCCAGGAGGGGCTGTCGACCACAGAGTAGTTTCTCACCCACAGAGAAGCTCAGGCCTCCGGGGCATCTCCCCACATGCCTGTGTCTGTTCCCACCCCAGGCTGGACTGTACCCACTGAATAAAGCGCGCTTGACCCCCCGGAGAGCACTGGCGTCCAGTTAAGTGGATGCCCCCTCACGCTGGTGCGGTCTTGGACTCCCAGCTGCCCTCGGCCCTGAGCCTCGGGGCCCAGACCACCTCGCTCTGCCGCTGCCCGGTGCTGTCCTCAGCCTTCGGCCGCTGCCCCAGTGGGAGCATGGCAGCCCTGGTCCTGGGGACCGAGACCTCCTGTTCTGGCCCCAGTGTCACAACTGACCCCTAAGACCAGATGCAGTGGCTCGCGCCTGCAGTCCTAGGACCTGGAAGGCTGAGCCAGGAGGGTGGCTTGAGGCCAGGAGGCCGAGGCCACAGTGCCTGCACCCTGTAACTGACTTCAGCTGACTGGCCTGCTCCCTTGCAAGGCTGGGGATTCCCGAGCCTTAGCTGTGGATGAGGGTTTGCTGCTGGCCCAAGCCCGGGGCAGCCAGCGCTGGACATCAGGCCGCCTGGCCCCGTGCCCCCTGCTGCCACCTCCTGGGTTGCCCCTGCGTTTTGCGGGCTTCCGGGCTCAGCCCACCCTGCTTTCTGCCTGCCTGCACGCCTCTGGCCCCGGGGCAGGTGCCCGTGTCCTGGCAGCTGGCGCTCGCCGTCCCGCACCCCTCCCTGGCCACCGGCAGGACGCCCGCTCCCGGGGCGCTGGGCTCGCGGCTGGGCCTGATTGACGGGGGCGGGTCGTGGGCAGGGTCCCGGGGAGAGGGCCGCGGTGGCGCCTCAGGGTGACGTCCCTCTCCCTGCGCGGGGAGCCCACGAGGTCCCTGCCGGAGGCGGAGGAAGGCGCGGCGAGGGAGGAGGGCGGCGCGAAGAGGGAGGAGGCG